CTAATGTTCACTAGCATGCCTTCTGAGAATCTTTCATCACTTCCATGGCTTCGATACAAAATTACTATCAATGGAAAAAACTAATCTGTCTCCAAACCTTGTATCATGCAAGCCTGGAACACACTGTCCTAACAGCTTAGATTAGAATTATTTTCTTAGATCTGCATTTTTGTTAGTTTTGAGTCCTCAAGTGTATCATGGATGCTTAAAAATGCAGATATTTTTAATACCACCAGCAAAGGCAGTATAAAAACTGTGTTTTATACTTGATAATGAACTATATTTTTGCTCTTTAAATCTTGGAGCCTTACAATTCGTCACAGGTTAGGCCCCTTTGTTTTGTGGAGCCAGAGGTTTGAACTGGAAATTTATTTTTCTAATATGTCTAGAAAACTTCCAGCTTTATTATGCTTGTTTGGATTGTAAGCAGCAGACATCCCCCTCTGTAATAAATTGGATTTCTGTGTTTCTAATATTGCATTTGTCTTTCTGATAAATCTTAGTTTACAAATGCTCAAGGGAAGGTACATGTATGAAAAAAAAAATCAATATATGCTAGCAGATGATGATCATTTGATCATTGTAGAAGGTTGTCCATAGATGAAAGATGCAAGGAAGAGGATGCTGACTTTCAACAACAACCCATCCTCCTTTATCTGACATTGTTAAATACAAGGAGAGAGGACTGAACTATTAAATAAGTGATTTGAAATCATTTCCTTAAAGGAAAGAGGAAGAAGTAGAGTTTGCAGTGTTGGCTCAGTGACAGGAAAAACAAGAGCTGGACTGAATATGAGCTGCCAATCAGGATGCTAAGAAGCAAGAATTTTTCCATAGTTTTTTTTTTAATTATAGAAAAAAAAATCAAAATCTTAGAGCGCTGCAGAATAATTTTAAAAGTGGTCAGAGCTTTGGTCATGATTTGATGATCCATCCAGAAAACTGACATGGATTGACGAAGAATATGATTATCAATCCTACCTTTCATTATGATCTCATACCCCACCCCACCCTTTTGGTCCCGTGACATGCCTGCACCAACATCACTGTGCATTTGCCCCTCTTAAAACCCATAGACTGGTAATCCGCAGATTGGTATTCTATCCCATGTATAACTGGCAGATCCTATAAACCAGCTGTGCATGGATCTTGGAAAACATGTTGTGCAACGTTAGAACTCTTTGGCTTACAGAGCCCGTGTTAGGAGGGTCAGGAAGGAAAATCACAGAAGTGTGGAGATATAGAAAGGCTCAAGCTGTTCCAGGCTTTTGTATCTCAGCATCCATCTGCCTCAAATCAATCAGACTCCAGAGCCAGCTGTGACTGACAACTTGGAAATGCTCCTTGTGCAGAACAGGGGCCTTGCCAAGAACCAACACAATCTTCTTGGTTTCGAGTGTGGGTTACAGTGTCCCAGATTCAGATCTAGTTTAATTCCCACCTTGGCTCTCTGTTGTAGATTATTGATCTTGATTCTTCCAAAGATCTCACTAGACCCAAGAGATACAAAACTGCCTTATTTGACTAAACATTTGGAGACCCAAAGTAGATTTGGAGAGACTTTTAAAGATCTTTTGAAAAAAAAATAATAAAGTCTACATCTGTGGTTTTTTAAAAAAACATGCATAGGCCATTTAGAATTGTCAGAATAAAGCAAGATAACACATTTATATAAGGTAATGTTACTCACTCAGAGCTTTTGGATGATAAAGAACTTCTACATTTTTTTTTTACATATCACATGATATAATCAAGCAACATTAGATACTCTTGAGAACAGGTAAGTAAAATACAATTTTGCAAGAGGCTGAAAATGAATGTTTGTTCAAAGCATAGGGGGAAATCACTCAGCACATCTATTAACTGGAAAGGAAGATCACAACGTACTTTTCTAATTATGAGGAAGGTTTTACTGGAACCTACATGATAGACTGCTTTATGCCACCTATTTCCATAGATGGGAACTTCATTTTAACAGAACTCTAAACTAAAAAGTAATCCCATTTATTCATTCCAGTATCAAACTGTTCACGAGGGATGACACACCTAAGGAAATTTCAGACGAGACAGCCCATCTGTTTTTTAAAATATATGGAGTCATGATTTAGGAAAACGCTGCTTTATTAGACAAATAATTTTACAGCCATCATTAAAATATCTTTTTATAAAACTAGATCACAAGAATTTACACAGAGTATTATATACAGATTCAATCCAGAGGGCCATTCTTATCTTTATTCAGAAAAAGCTCTTCACACATACACTTACTTGATTTTAATTGAAAAGTTTTGCCTGGGTCACAGAACTATTTTATTCCTTTGCAGTTACTGAAAACCAAAGTGCTGTGTGCTAACTGGTGGATTGCAGACTGTTTAACAGTCAGGCTATTTATGTCAGGTGCACTGAGATGGTCCTGGGAGAATAAGATTTTAAGAATGAGCCAGAGGAAAATTAGTCAAGGAATAAAACCAGAGGATTAAAAGCAATGCAATCCACCAAGCTGTTAAACTAGTACATCGTGGCATCCAATAGCTTGCATATAGAACCACAGCTCGATTGCTATCTAAAGGAGAAATTGAAACTACACCTTCCTGTCCCAATTTTTCACTAATGTATTTCTTTACAACTGAAGCTGGT